GGAAACTGGGCATCTGTTGGGACCTATTTTCAGTGGCAGACGCATTCACATCTCAACTTTTAGTGAGCATTTGGGCAAGTAGCATTGTATATGTGGGGTTGAGGTAAATTAGTAATAAACAATATTTAACCTGACTTATCTCGGTTAAACAACAAAGTTTTTGTGAGTTTGAAGCAGCTGAAACATGAAAACTATGCTCAGAGGAGACAAACCACACGTTCCTGTTCTGAATTCGAGCCAGTGTGTGAAAGCAGCAGGTGGAAGTCAGTCACAAACATCCACAAGAAGTTAATAACGAGATGCTAACACCAGCCGTGGAGCTCAAACATTTCCAGGCTGTTAAACTGTCAGCAGAGGTTAGTGAGCAGCACACAGTCAGAAAGCTCCGACCTCGGTTCCCCACGGCCTGTAGGGTTTACTGCTGCTGCTGTGTGGAGTCTGCGAGGAAGAGGAGGAGGAGACGGGGGGACTGGCAGCAGAGGAGGTGAAGGAGGAGTGAGGGAGGATGGGAATGCCTCCGTGGAGGGCGATGGGAAACGACGCTGAGAGGGAAAGCAGGGAGGCGGAGAGAGGGGTGGGGGTGCAGGGGAGCACGAGGGATGAGGAAGAGGAGGAAGAAGGCGAGGAGGAGGTGGAGTCTGCATGGGAAGAAAATGAGGAGGAGACAACACCGCGCTGGGAGCCTCCGCCTCCTCCAACGTCCGGAGAAACCAGCCCGCTAAGTCTGTAGGGCAAAGGACGAAATGCGGCCAAAGCAGCCGCCCAATGGTGCGGGTGGTGGAACGGGTGAGGCAGGGGGTGGGGCTGCTGGGGGTGGGGGTGGTGTGACGAATGGGAGGCAGTTGTAAGGGCGGCGGCGTCACGCTGGGAGGCACAGGAGGCGAGGTGGGAGAGAAGGCGGGAGCGCAGTGGGTCGCCGGAGTCGAGCCCCTCCACAGCGCTCAGGTAGCGGGAAACCTCAGTCACGCACTCCCTGAAGCCCAGAGACAGGAAGTCCAGGGCGAAAGCGTGGGCGTCGAAATAACCTGCAGGCAGAAAAGGGCGGGGTTAACATCATGGAGGGAGGCAGGGCTTAAAATCAGATTCTAAATCAAATTGAAAAATTATGAGGGCAGCCAGTCATTACAAACTCCACCAGAAACACAAACGTCACCAGAAACACTAAACAGGTTTCCCTCAGTCACTTTGGGGTGACGGGGTGTTGGTTTAAGCTCAGCTGTGGGAGGACAGGTGAGCACAGGTGAAGCTGAAGGTTCAGGGTTCAGTGTCTGATCAGTCTCCTATTTATGCGCCATGCTGGGATCTATGCAGTAG